CTACCTCACAGGTGCTACCTCACATGCATTACTGCACAGGTGCTACCTCACATGCATTACTTTACAGAAATTGCTACACACACGCTACCAAACAGGTGTTACCTCACAGGCGTTACTTTACAGGTATTGCTGCACAGCTGCTACCTCACAGGCATTACTGCATAGGCCATACCGCACAGGTATTACATCACAGACGTTACTGCAGAAGTGTTACCTCACAAGCTTATGTCACAGATGCTGCTGCACAGGCGTTACTGCACAGATGGTTCAGCGTGTCTAAGATTTCCACAGGTTCTTCTAAGACAGTCACAGCAATCTGCGAAGATCCATGTTCTTTTTTTTTTTTTTTACCTGTGCTTGTGTTTCATTTTAAGATCCAACTGACACCTGCCTCTTTCTTTTCCTCCTCATCCTCAGGAAGCCATTACTGGCACCACTTTTCCAAACGGACTGGTCCCAGGCCACGCCTACACTGTGACGGGTCTCAAAGAGGTGACGGCTCCTCTGTCTGACACAGGGAGGGAGGGAGGGTTTTATGGATAAGTATGATCGGTCCAGGATCAGTACAGTATCTGTATCGGATTGGTACTGGTTCGGTTCAGGATCGGTTCAGGATTGGTCCCAGTTCGGTCCTAGATCTTTACTGGATTGGTAGGGGACTGGAACCTGAACAGTACCAGATCAGTCCTGGATCGGTACCAGATTGGTACAGGATTGGTACTGGATTGGTCCAGGATCCCTACCGCATTGGTACTGGATCGATACCAGATCAGTACCGATCAGTCCTGGATCAGTACCGGATAGGTAGAAAAATCAATAGCAGATCGAGTGCTTACTTTTAGAACAGTCTCTAATTTCAGCTTTCAGAAACCTACAATGCAGCAATTGAGGTGATTCCTTACTGCTATCATTTAAACCCCCCTCCCCCATGCAGAGGACAAAAGATCTTGCTTGGTCGCTCAGGCCAACAATTGCCCCCAACAACCCCCCCTTTCAGAGGCATAGCCCAGTATCGGGTATTGCAGACTAACAAAGAAACCAAAACGACTCCTTATTCCAAAGGGGCAGACCTGTTCGTTTGGTTCAATGTGCATGTTTTCTAAACCAAAACAAGTTGTTGGGCTACTGTATAAAGCCTGGAACTCAACGCTACTTCCTTCCGCCATTTTGAATTAAAAAAAGCTTCCTGGATGGAAAGAGAAACGTCTTTGAACTTGGAAACAAAGTCCAGTGGATTGATTTTAACTTTTTTTCAATGATAATGACCTGGATGACTGAGAACCTTCGCCAGGATCACAGCTAATATAGCAAAGCCGCTCTCTGCATTGAACACAGAGGCAGCAGGAGCATCAAACGCATCTAGACACACTTTAATGGACGTCTGACCTTAATGTGGATCAGAGATGAAGCGACAGGAGCTTTTTAGCTGCTTCTGGCGCTTGCAGTCTGAACATTGCATAAATGTGGTCATTATCAAACTTTATCAGAGTTATCCCAGAGACTTGATCACCGGACATAGGGTAACCATTGCAACTAGCACATTTCCAACAGCTGAAGATTTCAAGTTAGAGAGACTACTATTGTGTAAGTGAAACACGGAGGCAGCTGTATCATGGTATGTATTTGCTCTCTGTGTTTGTCTCTGTTTAGCTGCTGAGCCAAGGAACGGTGGTTAAGCTGGTGCGTCTATGGAACCCCTGGGGACACGGAGAGTGGTCCGGAGACTGGAGTGATCTGTAGGAGCTTGCATCACCACTCAGTCACTACATCAACACAAACATTATTATTAGTGGCTGACTTTCTGCTGAGTGAAGAGTGAAGCTCTTAACTTGTTTGCTAGGTCTCCGCTGTGGCGAACTGTAAGAACAGAAGATAGAGAAGAATGCCTGACGGTGGAAAATGACGGAGAGTTTTGGTAAAGAAAACTCTAATTTATGGTTCAGTAACTGAATGAGCTGCTTCGATTGGCTGGAGACACGTTGGTGATGATGTTGTTGCACACAGGATGACCATGGAAGACTGCTGTAAGTATTACTCCAACATCGCCATCTGCGGCCTGGGCCCCGACTTCCTGGATGAAAACCCAGGTTCTCAGTGGAAGACCTCCATGTATGAGAACCGCTGGGTCGCAGGAACCACAGCTGGAGGCTGCATCAACAACAAAGGTGATCCTCTTCAAACAAGCTCATTGATGTCTTGGAGAGAACAGATAAAGACCTTATATGCTCCTAAATCACTGGAACTCAAGAGGTCGGAGGTAACATTAAGTTCAGAGGTCAAGGTGCTTCATTCAGAAACGATGGTAGGATGGAGCAGAAGGCAGAGGAATGGACATATGGCTGCAGAGATCAGAGGGTTAGGAAGGGTTGCTAGTTGGACTCCATACTCTATCCGTCTGAGTCTTCCTTGTTGTTGTTGGTCAAAGAGCCGCTGTGCCGATTGTTGGTTTGGACAGTTTGCTAATGACTCCATTTACTGAATGATTGCTGTCATTGGTCTGAATGTCTGAAAAGTATCCCAGGAGTGAGAGGATCTAGTGAGCTGCTCTCATGCTATGAACGGTTCAGTGGTTAGCATCTTTCAGTCTGCTTATAGTTTCACTGCCACATTTATTAATACTATTATCCTGTGTTTATTCAGAGACCTTCTGTAACAATCCCCAGTATCGGATCAAGGTTTATGGAAAAAATAATTCCTCTAAAGCCAAAAACACTCTGGTGTCTCTCATGCAAAAGCCTGACAAGAGGAACAGACGAATGGTGCAAAACCATTTCATCGGGTTCACCATCTTTGAGGTAAATGGCCGTCCAACTTTTCAGATTGTTTGTTGGTATTTTAGTGCTAAATTTAGTACAAACCACGGATTCCAATCTCTCTAAATGTTCAAATACATTTAAATTGTTGTTTTATTTTTTATATAATTTTTTCTCCAATATGAAAACATCTCAACTGATTTCCCCCAAGCTGTCAGAAAAGGTAAGTTTGGATATCTGTGAATGACACCAGAGGACCTTGCTTCCCCTCAAACTATGAAATGTTTATGATCCTGCAGAACGCAACTCATGTTGGAAAGTTCTCAAAGTCCTTCTTCAGCAGCCAAAAACCTGTTGCCCAAACTGAAACCTTCGTTAACGCGCGTGAAGTGATGGAGTTCCTCACTCTGGAGCCTGGAGAATACCTGATCGTGCCGTCCACCTTGAAACCCAATGAGACAGCTTCCTTCCTCCTGACCATCTTCTCCAGAGAGGAGACGCAGTGCTAGTAAGTCGTTTTAACACAAAACTCTGAATGTATAAGAATTAACTTCAACATGTTTAATCTGCCATTAAAACATCCCCAGTAAAATGAAATGATGCTCTAATTTTTCCTCATGAATCTGCAGATTTATGAGTTAAAGCTAAAGGAGGAAACTCAATCACAGTTATCCTCATCCAACACCTTAACTAACCTGAATAATGAGAGGAAGCTTCTCAGTCAGAGGTTTCTCTGGTTCCATCTTTAAATGTGCTTCAGTCTGTGATCCCAGGATGTAATGAAATCCACAGTTTCTCTCAAAGGAGAGTCAGCAGTTTAACTCTAAACAAGTTAGATGGGGATTAATCAGGTAGAGACGATGACTCTATTCTGCAGAGTAGGAGAATAGAGATAGAATGAAGCAGAATGATGAAAAAGGGGTCCCTATGTCCTCCAGCAGTCTAAGCCTATAGCAGCATAACTATAGAGATAGTTCAGGATAACCTGAGCCACTCTAACTATAAGCTTTATCAAAAAGGAAAGTTTTAAGCCTAGCCTTAAAAGTAGACAGGGTGTCTGCCTCACGGACTAAAACTGGTAGTTGGTTCCACAGGAGAGGAGCCTGATAACTAAAAGATCTGCCTCCCATTCTACTTTTAGAAATTCTAGGAACCACTAGTAAACCTGCAGATTGAGAGCGAAGTGCTCTGTTAGGAACATAAGGAACAATCAGATCTCTGATATCAGATGGAGCTTGGCCATTTAAGGCTTTATATGTGAGAAGGAGGATTTTAAATTTTATTCTGGATTTAACAGGAAGCCAATGAAGAGAAGCCAGGATAGGAGAGATATGATCCCTCTTTTTCATTTTCATCAGAACTCTGGCTGCAGCATTTTGGATTTTAACTACAGTTTGTGGATATCCAAGGATAGCGAGGATAAATCGAACCCGTCCTTCAAATTGGGCAAAAAGAAGGACACATTTTAAGACAGCATAACGAGGACTCTTGGAATCCGACCAGACCTCGGCGCCGCGCTATGACGTAATTGGCCTTCCAATCTGGCCTTCTGAGGATGCAGCCCATGAATTTGAACAGGGCCATTAAAATGATGTTCAACCAACCATGGCTAACTGCTAATGTTGCTAACACCTTAATCCATGTGAACATACATACAAACAAGTTAAATTCTCTCACTAAAGAAGGGTGCTGAAAAAGGGTCCAAATTGGCTCCAAAAATGATTAAGCAGGAATTTAAAGTCAGTTTTTGAAAGACTATAAGTAAAATACTTGGTGTAATTTTGATTTATTTAGCAGATGGTTTTATCCGAGTGACTTACCAAGCAGACATTAGCAATAAAGGGTCTCACCTAAGGGCCCAGAGTTGCAGCTCATTCCCCCCAGCAGGGATATGAACCCAGGGCCTCCTGTGTGCAGGAGGATTGACTTTAACTAGCCGGCCACTGCTCGGTTAGACTTTTAAAGTAATAACGGATATTTTGAAGTGTTTGGAAAATGTCAAGGAGCATTAATTACAATAATAAAGATACCAACTAAACTGACATAACTGCGCTGTGGAATAAATGTATTTATACATCCAGCTGTATTTGGACACTAAGCAGATATTATCAGCTCTGTTCTTCATAAACTCCTTCTTACTGATCTTTTTTTCCTCAGTGAAAACTCTGGACGCAGTTTTGAAAAGGTTTGTTTTTATTTTCCTTTTTTTAAATTATCCTGATAATTGCTGATCAGTATTTTTATCTTTAGCACCAAACTGAAAACTCTTTTGTTAAAAGGTCAAGAAAGAGAAGAACGGAAAAGACGTTTACAATAACAAAAACTTCTCCCGCCAATACTCTGACAAGGTAAACTTTCTTTTATTAATCTCACACTGGAGAAATTCACTCTCTGTATTTAACCCATCCCCTTGGGGAGCAGTGGGCTGCCATTGTGCGGCGCCCGGGGAGCAGTGTGGGGTTAAGGGTCTTGCTCAGGGACCCAGAGTGGCAGTCTGTGGGAGAGGGGCTCAAACTCAGAACATCTGGATTGCAAGCTCTATATCCTAACCACTAGGCCACCCCCTCTTACACTGAGGATTTTAGTTTAAATACCAAGGTCACATATTTCTGAATTAATGATTAGAAAAAAACTGGTATGTTGTGTTGCTTTAACAAGAAAAAAGGTTTGATGATGGAAACATTATGCCCCATTTTCTCTCCAGAGATCATTTAAGTTTTTTATGGGTCGACAGTTTATATCTTCTAGCATTTTCATTGATTTCAGAACTAATTTGAACTAAATTGATACCAATAAACAATATTTTATTTTTTTAGATTCACCCAATCAGTTTGACTCTTAGATTTCTTTCCATGATTAGATTCAGTAGTGGGAAGTAACTCAGTACATTAAGGTGATTACAATACTGAAGTACTTTTTAGTAATTTTTTTGGGGGGGGCAATTATAACTTTTAATCCACTCGATTTCCAGGAAGCTACGAAGTTACCTGATAGAAATGATAGATTTGCAGAGAAACAGTAACCAGAGGAAAGGTGAACATTTTTTAGGTTTCAAAAAGGAGATTAAACAAAATGAATGAAGAGTTAAAGAGCTGCTTGGTATAAGGCTCCAAAAGCAGTGAGTAACTGATCGTAGACTCTGATTTTAAGCAAATATGTAATCAAATATAAAGTTTTATCATATGGAAAGCAAAGGATTAAATCATTCGATTGAAATAAATAGCTTTTCATATCTCATATACTGTTGCCATCAAGAAAATGTTTAATTATACCTTTTTTAGTTATTTAAATATTTCATTGAAAATATATAAATAAAGTAATGTAATTCTTCACATTTTAATTGGCTTTCCTAAAAAAAAAAAAAAAACAAGTCCAGTGAATTTTTATTTTTTTTATGGAAAGTCTCTGACCTGGAGAATCTTCAGCCGCGTATCCCATGATGTCAGCCTTGGAAAAGTTCAGAAACTGTTGGTAGATTCAGCTCAATCACAGGCTTCCATGTTTTTCAGTATGAAGACGTCGATGCTGAGCAGCTGCAGAAGCTTCTAAATGAGACACTTCTGAAAGGTGAGACATTTACCTGCCTCATCATTTCACTCATTAAGAGATGTTGCATAAACAGCACTGCCTTTTTGTCCACGCAGGAATCGTCCAATCAGGAGGCTTCACCATCGATGCGTGTCGCAGCATGGTCGCTCTCATGGACGTATCCTGTTAGCATGTAAACATGACTTTATTAGACTTCCTGTCCTAGAGTTACCTTAACATGTCATTAAAAGACATCAGTGACTGGGAAGCTGAACAACAGCGAGTTTGTGCATCTATGGACCAAAATTCAGAAATATAAAGTAAGAGAAATAAGAATCCATCCATTCAACCATCCATCCATCCATCCATCGTTCTCTGGATCAGTGGTTCTCCCTCCTGGTCCTGATCTTCTGCTTCCCTCCATGTTTTGGATTTCTCTCTGATCCATCCTTCCAATGATTATGTAGACGTCGTGCTGCAGACGGCTAATCAGTCAGCTGTTTGGAAGCACAGAGACGTCAGGAACAGGATGAACAACACTGTCCTGCATCTCTACACCACACTAGCATAGAGACATAAAAACATTTTGTTTCCTTTCATCAGGAGG